TTCATTTATACAGGTAACAATGGTGAAGTTCTAGCATCGTGGCAGGGTAAATTATTGAGATTGCATTTGAACTCTCTGATTTGTTTTCCTAAAATGCCTTGTTTTCTAAAATAACTCACCACCTCACATTTTCAAATTCAATCATAAAGATATAGAGGATTACGTGCATAATTTAGTAATGACCCTGATACCAAGTGCCGCCTCGTTGCTATTTCCTTCACTTCCCAGATTGTACCGTTCACTGCCTCCCTACATTAGAATCATTCTATTGGCTCTCACATTTTATTCCATGTTCACTTGCCTCTGGGCGGTCACCCGATTGCTCCAGGTTTTTTTTTTTCGCTGTTGAATTTCATTGGGAGGTTGCGCGTCGTCTTTATCATTTTTGGCAGAGGAGTCTTCATTGTGGCGATATTAATGGTCTACACTTTGTTGTATAGCGAAAGTGGAGATAGTTAATATTAGAAATGCTAGTGGTTAGAAAGATTAGATAAACACTAATAATAATATAGCGGTTTAATGTAACATTTAATAATTGAAGGGAGTGTAATTGTATTGTAATTAATTTTATTATTATTTTATTATTATTATTATTATCAATTATGTTGTAATCTAGACGATGTGCATATCTTCCATTAAAATTCAACAGCGACTTTTTTTCTTTTCTTTTTTTTTCTTTTCAAAGAAATGTGATCTCCTTGTTCGATTTCTTCGTCACGTGAATTTACCACGACCTCTGCGGATAAATCTAAATGCTGACGAGCTTCGATTGGTGCATCTATTGAGATTCCATGAAGAAATACATACTCTTTTATATACACACGCACGCAGTCAAAAAATTAGAGGCAGCAATAACGGCGTACATGCCGCTTATTCTCACAATGAGATTACGTGTGCTACATTTGATAGTTCCATTTGTGCTAATTGCGCGCGCTTTGCTGAAACCCCAAATATTTGATTCCAAATTCTCACCAAGAATGAATAAATGATCGGGTCGAACGACCGCCTCTCCGTTATTCATGGAAGTCCGACGTCTTTGGAAGGAGGAATTTTGTATACATACAGGATACATGCAATATTACCAATATTACCTAAAATCATTATTTGAAATAAAGTTTCCCTGCTTATCTTAACCGCAATATCTTTAACACATGCAGCGTGTTATTAGTAAAACAGAAATTGCCAAATTGGTGTTAACATAAAATTCCTAAGAATCGTCATAAATGATACCTTCAAGTAACCGCGGAAATCTTATGTTTCAAAATATTTGATTTCGCATAATATAGTAATTGCTTTTTTCTTTTCTTTCTTTGGAATTCATAGATGACAAATGGGTGGTGGATCGCTCGCACTTTACGAGTAAGTACACTGACCACTTTCACATGTGGACTTGGCCTAACCTTACGTGCACACGCACATCCGCCATGCGAAAAAGCTTTTTTCCTTTCTTCTTTCGGTTTCTTTCTTTTTTTTTTTTTTTACCTATTGCAGGTAATGAATACCTCGTCATCGTGTGTGTACGCATCCAAAAGTAACACGTGCGCGCTTCTTTGCCTCGAAGTCGTATTCTTGGATACAGTAGTTGAAGGTACCCGGAACACATCCAACACGACACAAAGAAAAATAAATAAATAAATAAATATAGAAATGAATGGGCGAGTTTTGCGGAACAGTTCATGTAGCATTGTGAATGCACGAATTGGGATATTTTTGACGTAGGGACGCGAAGGCCTTTTGTCTATCTTTTCATTTTAATGATTATTAGGTAGTATGATAGAAGGGTTCCGGGAGGGTTTCGCGTTCTCACGAGTAATCACGCGTGTGTACGTGCGCAAAGTACAAACATACCGTAAATAGGTTAACTTACTTATGTCTAAAGACAAATTTTTTATTTATGGCACCGCTCCTGCAAATTATTTTACTCAGTTGGTGAGAAATAAGCCAGTGAAATTTATTACCGTCTCGATAATCGGATTTTCCGTATTGTTTCTGCACATCAATAATTATTAATATGAGATTATTGTTTTCCTATAAACGAGAGGTTTTGAAATTTCATATTAATAATCGAATGCTTTCATATATTCTTATTTAGTAAGATCCCCTTTATCTTGGACGCAGCACCCATAAATAATAACATCTTTTGTTTTGTTATCCAATAATAGTCGAAGCAGGTTTCTTTCCCGGAGCGATCGCCGAAACTATCTCTTTTTGATGTGACCGCCTTCTTAATGTGATCTTTGTATTATTCTTGAAGGCGAAAACAAAGAAAAAGATAGATTGGTGTTCAAAGTTGGTAACCAATTTTAGAGACAAATTTCTTCGGCGCATCCTTCGTGTGAGATCTGGAAATCATGTCATTCCCCTTCCCCTCCCCAAAACGATATCCTGATTGATATCGGGGGGAGGTTGGAATGTTTGCTACGTCACTTGGCGTAATTCGGGTCGTTTAAGTTGCGCCAACTTAACTTTAAATCTCTGACATTTTGCAGCCAGCCTTCGTTGGCACCGAATTCAAATCAGTGGAAATGGTGGATTGGCAGCCACTGAAAAAATTTTCGTCCAAAATATCATTACTAATATAATAACTATATAGCATAATGTAGGTATTATTATTATTATTATTTTTTTTTTTCTTTAGAAAAAAAAAATCAACAAATTCACGTTTTCCGGAGAGAGAATCAAAAAATTTTTTATTTATATTACTTGACAAATTTGGTGGTGATCGATCTCTAAAGAATACATACAGTCATTTTCACCTGTGGTTACAATTTGTAAGTGCGTGCGTGCGCAGTACACGTAATTAACTGAAAATGTCTCTTGTGTAATTCTTCTCGGGTTCCTGAGATTTTTCTACGGATGCCACCTGCCTACATATGCATATTACAATGTGTACACATAGTGGTTTTGGTAAAGCGAGAAAAAAAAAAAAACATTGATACCATTGACACTTTGGATCATTTGTCATAAAAAGATTACCTGGAATGAAATTTTGTGATCCATTCGAACACCCCCTTCCTTCCGCATTTGAACTCGCGAAAGAAGTTCACCGTGACACCAAGATTTGTTAATGCATCGTTTGTTGACATTCGACTTCCATTTTTAAACGGTTTCTGGCTCCTTCAATGTGCAGATTTCCGGAGCGCTCGAGCTCGGAATTTGCATGTGCGGTCGAAACCACGTGGGCATTCTCAATTCGTTTTCAAACAATATATGTTTATGCGTGATTTTATTATTCGATTTGCGAACTGATTGCACGAAGATGTGCATGCATTTTCAACAAAATTCATTCGTTTATTTGGTCCATTAAAATGGGCCAAAATTTTACCGATGGGAATGGAAGGATACAAGCTATTCCCAAAGTAGTAATATAACGATATATATTGAAATAACAACAAGAAACGAGTGATTCGTATTTAATTTCCAACTGCTTGCGCAATCAATCCTCTCTGCTTCTTTCCTCCAACGAGTCGTTACCGGAATCGAAACAGGGAATTTATAAAATTACCTTATCCAGCTCTTTCTTTACACAAATTAATCAAGCGTGATATATAAATAAAGTAAGAGGAATTTTTGGGGGGATCCACACCATGCGACATGAATCTCAAAAAAGTATATATAATCTAAGATCCTCATGCTAGTACGAAATTTAATATATATTTTTTTTTTCTGTTTGAGTCTTGCGATGTATTAACCGTTCTGCTTGTTACAATAGTTCCTTCGCATAATTCAAGAATTTAACTATACATCACGAACCCGTCGCATCGTCTAAACGAATATCCATTATACCCGTGCTATTTAATTCTTTCAATATAAATAATATATATAATCCCTTGCGGGATAACGGTTCGTTCGGCATCTTCCTCAATAAAAAGCTAATCACCACATAGACAATAAAAAACTTACCAATTATATAAAAAAAAAAAAGCAACTTTAATATAATATAAATTTTTGTACTCCAACAATTCATACTTGGATTAGTTAGTTCTAGGTATAATAGACGTTAGCATAGATAGATCATGTCGAGCGAGGAGTTAAGTCATGTTAAACGACGTAGGGTAGCAAGAGCCTGTGATACATGTAGAAGAAAAAAGGTTCGTTGTGATGGTGTTCAACCCGGCTCCGATCCACCATCCTGTACAAATTGTAAAGCTTATGGTTACGAATGGTACGTTCTCACGCAATAAAAATTATCCGGAAAAATGCAATAGATATACACATACGCATGCATGTATCTTCGACAATCGTTCTCTGAAACTCATTAACAAACAAACATTTCTTATCCAATTGTTCCCGTAGTTCCTTCATCGATGCCCCCAAGAAGAGAGGCCCGCCAAAAGGTTACATCGAAGCGTTGGAAACAAGGCTTCAACGTATGGAGTCCATTCTTGGCGGATTGGTGCAATCGGGAGACTTGCCTGAGGGGACAATCAATTCAAATCTCGAGTGGATTAACGTTAACGAGAGCAATTTCAAGTCATCCCACGACTATTCCGACAGAGATGGCTCATTGCGAAAGTCAAGTCATCGTGATTCCTCCACACGTCCTACCGCCTCATCGTCGAAATTGTCGGCCTCCTCATCCAAAGGTTCCGCAAAATCACATAAAACGTCCTATGGTAACAGCGATACCGATGAAGGTTCATCTAGTGACAGCAATGAGTGTGCCGGTTCTCAATATGACCTGAACGACAGCATGGGACAACTTGCAATCGACGAAGGGGGTCACACTCGATACTTGGGAAGCAGCTCCGGAGTGTTCGTGTTCAAGTTCACCAAGAGGATCGGCAACGGTCAGGTCATCAATGTCCCTTCCGGAGAATGGCATACCCCAGCGAAAAAAAGATCCAACGTGACGTTGGAACTTCCTCCCAAGGAATTATGCGATCGATTGCTGGACACATTTTGGGCTCAAGTTCATCCGTACATGATATTCATCGACAGGCAAGATTTTATGGAGAAGTATAACAACATAGAAGAGAATCATACCCAAATAATACTTCTCTATGCCATGTTTGCCATTTCCGCAAAATTTATTGACGATCCGGCCGTGCGCACAAATCCGGACGTTCCTTCTACTGCAGGTAACGAATCCTTGGCTAACTTCTTGCACTCTTAATCTAACATCACTAACCTACCCGATTATTTATAAGGCGATGAGTATTTCAATCGGGCGAAAGAATTACTCAGGGATGAGTTCGATAACGCAACCCTGTATACCATTCAGGCGCTTCTATTATTGGCCGGACATCAACAAGGCGCCAAAAATTCAACCATGTGGCTATACGTTGGTCTGGCCACCCGTCTCGCTCAAGATATGGGGTTGCATCGTGATTCTTCAAAATGGAATCTCGATAAAAAGAAATCGGAAGTTCGTAAACGGATATGGTGGGCCTGCTTCCTGGCAGATCGTCTCATTAGCGCTACTCTGGGACGGGTAAGCACAAGGACCTCCTTTCGAGCGCTGATCGTAGTTTCTACCTTAATGACACCTTATTTACCAAGTGCCTCTCATTTTACAGCCGCTCGCCATTAACGACGCTGATTGTGATGTCAGTCTTCCCGTCGCTGGCGCACTACCTGATGATTCGACTCAGTCCGTTGCAGGGTATATTCATCTCATCAAGATCATTACAATCCTAGGAAGGGTGCTTTCACATATTTATGGCATCAAGGCCAAGAGGTCCATAAATGGCAACAACGATAATATGTTGGCTACTTTGGATGCGGAATTGAACGAATGGCACAAAAATCTTCCGGAAGATCTTAGATTTGATTTGAAGAAAACCTCTTCGTTCACGGGTACTGCGGAGAAGAGGCGAATGTTCATCCATCTCGTATATTATTCGAGTCAAATTCTCTTGCATCGTCCTCACATCCGCGGACCAAAATCCAACGCACCACCTTCATCTATCCCGTCGCTCACGATATGTACAATGGCCGCCAACAATATCACCTTAATCATGTTTCGTTCGATGAAAGATGGAACCTTGAAGACCACATGGAGTTTCTCGATATACTCATTCTTTACTGCCTCCACCATGCATATCATAAATGCTCTCAGCGGTGATGACAGGTTTAGGGAAGTTGCAAAGCAGGGTTTGAGGATGACGATGAAATGCCTCGAGTACTTGCGGCCGTATTGGTTCGCATCAGAAAAGGTTTTAGGCGTCTTCAACGAATTAATCAAAATGAAGAATATTGATCTCGACGGTCTCAACGTAGTGCCCGATGCTGAGGAAAGAAAATCGTCATCGTCAAAAAAGAGAAGATCGGGAGGTGGCGATGCCGTTAATGATCAACGCGCGATGGTTGATGAATCGATTGAAATGTCTGATCAACCTAATGTCGAAAACCCATTTCTGTACCACGATAATTTATTGGAAGTGCCACGTGTCACATACGTGCCATCAAATTCATCTTCCTCACCTTCATCGCCTCAAGCTGGGGTCGGGGCACTGCCGCAACCACCATCGTCGATTCGAGAATACAACGCAGCAATGAGGAAACAACACATGTTTAATAATCCCACC